TTATCAATTAAATTGGGAATAACTACCAATCCACTGAAGTGGATAGAAAATTACCTAAGAGATTCTCTAATAAGCAGTGCATGTTAAGAGGAGGTGATTATATGCCATTAAGTTTATTGAAGAACTTCACATCTACTTCTTAGCCTAAATTAAATAAATTAGGCTAGCTATCAGTAAAAATATTTTTATTTATATTTATTTATAAATATAATCTCTCGAATATGACAAGACCGAACAGGTTTGAAATTATGGAAACCTATTTATCACAGATATCACAGTTTCTTTTTTCACTATTTCATCTTTAATTACTGAAATGAATTTTCGAATAATTCGCTCCATTAGATTTGCTCCATTTGCTCTATAAATAATATAAAAAGGCAAATAAGTGATATTCTTTATGATATCGATATTCAGTTAGATCAATGATAGGTTAATTAAAAACATAATTTCATAGTAGTGACCTAAATTTTCATATATATATATATCTACTGCTTATCACTATTTACTTATCAGCATTCCTTTTTTTCTGCTTTTTGCTTTCATATAGATTTACGCTATACGAGATACTATCTCTTTTCTTATCGCTGTTGAAGCAAAACAGTATCAGTCCATGGCATCTGACCTGGCTTCATTTCAATATAAATAAATATTAGTTCCTCAGGAGGTCATTCAACGCTTCACTTTCAGTGCCCTTTTCTTCAAATCCCACTGTGTTCTGTCGTAAAGAATCGAGAACAACAATTTACATTTATGTCAATATTCAATCGTTTTTTCTCAAAATATATTTAAAGAATAAAAATCTTTAAAAAAAAAAGAAATGTAAAATTTAGGTCTTCTAAATTTCAATCTTATCCATCAATAATTCTTGCAGTTATCATTTTAAAAATTTTCGAAGGAAAAAACATAGAATATAAAAAAAAAAAGTTTCAAGAAAAGCATATCATTTATCACCGTTGTTATATTTTATTTCTGTTTCATTTTTTCAGTAACAAAAGTATTTCAGTAACAAACAACTTGAAAAAAAATACTTTATGAAACAAGTCCAATAAACTGATAACAATTGATAAAACTTTTCTTCTTAAATTTTTTAAACTTTTTAGTGTTTTTTTTAAGTTATTACGTATAGATTATATAATTTAATGAGATATCCACAAAAGGGAAATATAATTTAAAATAATGAGGCTATCAATCAATAAAAGAATGCAAAGATTTGTTGAATTTATAGCTATCAAAAAATTTTAATATTTTACACGTGATAAGAAAAGAGAAAAAAAATTGTTTTTTGTTGATAAGTGGCTGACAAGAAAATAAATTAGGCAAAAATAGCTCTCTTTTTTAGCCAAAAAATTTCTCCATTTTATTTTTTCCTCTCATAAATGAATTATTAAATAAATCCAAGATTTTCTTTTATTTCGTTCCCATCATTATCGATGTTATATAAAAAATTTTGCGAAATACCCACATATCTACTATATTTTTTTAGGAACTCATTATTAATAAAATTTTATCATTATATTATATTTAATATATATATCTAACATATATATATATATATATATCTAATATAAATATATGTATATATATATATATTATTTAATATATATTTAATAATTTAATAATTTATATTTAATATTATTTTATTTATATAAAAAAATATACATTTATATAAGACTTTTATTTAATGTTTTAATGTTTTCACACAATTTTGCAATTTTTACATTTAATGTACTTTTTTAAATTATTTAAGGAAATAAAAAAATAAATTATGAAAAATTCAATGAAATTCGTTAATAATTAATATTCTAAACATTAAAAAGCACAAAATGACTTTTGGCATTAACAAATCGAATAAAATTTATTCGAAATATAAAAAAATTTGTTAAAAAACGAAAAAAAATTTTTAAATTTTTAAATTTTTTTTCCGAAAAAACGATTCACAAAGGAAAAATTTTGCAAATTAGTGTGTTATTTTGCCGCTAACCGTGGCGAAGAGAACTGATCGCCAACTAAATATGCCTTCAGGAAACGGAAATTAGCAAAGTATTGCGTTTATTTATTGAATGTTCGTAGGCAACTTAGAATATTTCGGTCAAAGCATTTGGTGAATCGCTTCTGCTTGCTTATTGTTAATTAACTTCGAAACAATTGCTGTGGATTTACAAATGAGCGTTTTGAAATGGGAATTTTGTTTTAATATTTAATAATAATAAAAATAATAAAAATTTGTGTGGGATTGCGAAAGGTGAAAGCGAATTTCCTATCGGAATTTTATTGGTGTTTTGTCAGTTTTTCCAAAAACGATTTTTTGAGTAGTGCGACGGAATTTTTTGATATTGGAATGGGTGCGGATTGAAATCTTTTCGTTTTCCCTTCGTTGCTGGTTTGACTGGGCCACTTGGAAGCAAAGTCGATCTTGGCTCATACGTGAATTAGAACCTGGTTTACTGAGTTTTGAGAACGAATCTCATTTAGTGACTTCTGGCAGAAATGCAACGACCAGTTATTAATCCACCAGTAATAGAAGAAATAATTTTAAATCAATGTGCCGTTTGTGGTGATAGGCCAGCCAGTTTGCATTATGGTGCAGTAACGTGTAAAGAATGCTCGGTTTCAATTTTTGCATTTTTCAAATCAAGGCCCTTCTCAAATTTAGGGCTCTTTAATTTTTTGATAGCTATTTTTCCTAACTTCTTTGTTTTAAACAAAAGCCTTATTAATTAAACTACACTTCTTGGTGATATCTCAGCGGAAATTTTAAATAAAATTTGGATTTCAGGATTTTTTTTCGAGGTCTATAAAGGGTCGCGTGAGAAATAAATATTGTAATTGCAAGTCTCGCAAAAAAAATTTCTGCAATCCTTTCAAAACTCTAAAAGCGAACGAAAAAAACAAAGAAAAATGTTGAAATCCAAAAATATTTTTGCCTTTCTTCTTCGTTAAAAATATTTTTTATTTTATTTGAAATGAAAATTATTTGAAATGAAAACGACAAATTTTTAAGGAATTTTTTGCAGTATTTTTATTTTTTCATAAATGAATTAAATTTTCTTTTTCTTTTTGTGTTTTTTTTTATGGCTGCAAATTTTCATTATTTTTTGGATGAAAATTTGTTCTTTTGCATGAAATTCCTTTTGATAAAAACGATGAAAGCCTAAGCCTAAATAAGCCTAAATCGTCGGTCAGTCATTCACATCTTAGAAGCTTGAAAAGACGAAACCTGAAATTAAAATTTTCGTATTTACCAATTCAATTATTTAAAAATAAAAGAGTTAAATATTGAAATGGTTTACGTTCGGAATCGAAAAACCAAACAATACAAAAAACGCGTTTTTTTTGAAAAATTAAAAATGGAAAAAATTCATTTTATAACCGCCAGTGCTTGGGTTTCGCCGACGCTCAACTCTATCTGTCGGTCGTCTAACGGAGAAAGACTAAGGAGAGTAGAATGGCTCAGTGGATTGGGTTGTTGCTCAATATTTTATAAAGTAAGCCCAGTAAATTGATAATAACTGATAATATTTCTGTTCTTAAATTCACTAGTTTTTTTACAGTTATTGTATAGAGATTCTTTAATCTAATGAGATATCCGCAAAAGGGAAATATAATTTGAAACAATGAGGCCACAAATCAATAAAAGAATACAAAGATTTGTTGATTTACTATTTACTGTTCTCAAATTAAAAATTTTAGGTGCTATAAATTACAAAAAATGATTTCATGAATTAAGCTATCAGCAAATAAATTATCAGCGTTATTATTGATAATGAAAAATTTGTTCCGACCGAAGATTAAAAATTTCGCGACCCTTAAATTAAAAAATCTCTCTCTAATATAAGAGGAAATTAACAGTTAACAGTCAGAAAAGTAACCTTAAGAATATCTAATTTTAGGTCAACCCATATAATAAAAATTTGGAAGTAACCTCTAGAATTTAAGCACTATTGAAAACTAATATGGCCATTCAGGCGAGAATAGAACTACAAGGATATCTGGCACATTGCTAAATACGAGAAGAAAGGTTGTCGAGTGGTATGGTTCCTCTGACCAGTAACCGAACATCGGAGGGCTTAATTCTCTGATTCTGGCGTGAACAATCCGATTAAAAAACCACCTGGAGCTGGTGAATGGTTTCAATTCCCATAAAATCCCAGATGCTTCGAGGTCCAAATGAGCCTCTGATTGTGGTTGCAAAATAAATTTAATCAGTGCAATCCATAATGGTACCAAATCCACATGCAATAGTAACATACCATTTTCCTTAGACAGAAGATGTACGAACCAATTGACCTCGGCCGAAATTTAGCCCTTTGCCTAAATTGCAGACGGTAACGTATTAACTTCTGTTGTTGTCGGATTTTTTTGTGATTGCTTTGAGCTTTAGGCTGGATTGGGATAATGGTCTCCCTTTGGTGCGAGGATGGTGGTTCCAATTTCGAATGAATTTGTTCCGAAAATTTGACTGGTGATGGTGGCTCGTTTTTAGGCGAGCAGAATTTGATCAGAAACGTTAAATGGTAGAAGTTGACTAATCCTGTAAATCCTGAAATTGTAGCTGCGCATATAATGTTTCCAAACAACCCTTCCTGGCGTTCTAACCTGTCGGATGGAACCATTTGAACTGTGAACGATTTATAAATTTATAATATATTAGAAATTTAACAGTTTTAAGGAAATTGATAATTAGTTTAATTAGGATTAGCCGTTAATGATAGCGGGTTGGACGACTTGAAAATGATCTTATTTGGTCGCCAGTGGAACGAACCAAAGGAATAATGAATTTCGCTGGTGGGCTATTTGAAACAAAAGTGCAGATGAATTCCCAGTACTGCGGGGGTTTTCCATTTATAAGTATCTCTTCTTACTAGGTTTTTGATTATTTAAGGCATTCAATAAGCCATATCAGTCCATTCACCCGTTGATTTATTTGTTTCGTGTTTTGTATTTTTTTCGAAATTTATTTACTTTCAGCATATTTCACTCAGTCTACTTTTATATGTGGAATGCCGAACAATTTTGCTGCATTACGCAAATCTTTCTTACAACTAACGAAAAGTTGGAATGAAGATGGACGTATTGGAGTTGGAATGTCATTGATAATACCTCGTTTATATATTGGTAGTTTTAGCGATGCACAAGATGAGGAACAGTTATGCAAAAACGAGGTTGCTTTATTTTACTGCATATTTTTTGCTTTCTTTCGTAAGGAAAAGGTGTTTTTGCAGAAATGCGTTAGGCTAAAGATTTGCTAAATATGGTTAGATTGAAGTCTTTTTATCAGTATTGAAAATAGAGGTATAGATGGATTGCTTGTAGCCGCTCAGACGCAGTTTTAATGATAGATTTATTTTTTGTCAAAATCCATACTATTTGTCCCAATCACATTAGTTATATGCCTGGCAATCTTTAATAATTTGTCAAATAAATTCTTATTCGTCTCAAAGAGATTTTTCCTGTTGTAAAAAAAAAGAAATTATAATTAAAATTATTCGCAAAGGTTTCTTATAAATCGTTTTTTATATTTCATAGATTGATAATTAATCTGAAAATAATTTGAACGATTTTAATGGCATGAATTTAAAAAAAACTTAAAAAAAATCGAGGTAATGCTTTGGGCCTATTCTTATACTCTTCCATCGCAAAACAGTTCTGAGACTTTTTTTATCCTTTTAATCAGTGGAAAAAAGCCCATTCAGGAAGCTAATGAATGATAATTAAAGCAGTTGACTAATTGGTCAATTAAAAATGAATTTTTTATAAAAAATGATTTGCTGAATCAGAAATTAAAGTTTTATTTTACTTTCATTTTCAAATTCCTTATTTTTGCGAATATTTGTTGAGTTGTTAAAATTTTTTGTTTTCAGATTGTTGGAATAATTTCTGTCGCAAATATTTGTCAGCGTCAACCATCGTATATCAATCACTTCCTTAAAATATCGATATCTGATAGTCCAGATGTTAACATTTCTGATTATTTCAATGAAACTAATCGATTTATACATAAAATTAGGCAAGAACGAAGAGGTTTATATTTTTCATATTTATTACTTTCTCTTTTTTTTTTTCCAACTTTCATTTGAAGATTTTCTTCTGGAATTTCTTTTCAATTTTTTTCTATGGATTGTTTTTCAATTCAATAACCATATTTTCTTAAATTTATTGTTATTTGCAAATTTTATTAAATATATTTAGGAGCAGTGTTGGTGAATTGCATTGCTGGTGTAAGTCGAAGTGTTAGCATCGTTACTGCTTATTTGCTTACGATACCGAATGTGGAATATGCTCAAGCACTTTCCCATATAAGTAGACGAAGGCCAATTGCTTCTCCGAATTTCGGCTTTCGTATGCAGTTAATGCGTTGCGGAAATAATAAAGTAAAATTTCATCTAAATTAAATATTGATGGCTAAGTAGGTAAATGAACTTTTTGACCATTTTTTTTCGCAAAGAAATTTTTTTACGATATGATTTGTTAGGATTCGGTAATTTGTTGGTTTTATACGCAGCTAAAATCATTTTAATCCTCCAGGATTATGCTTCAACGTCTGCTCGAATAAGAATAGAAACAAGTTCTTCATTAATAAATTATCTTCGTCAGGAGGTTGAGGATTGTGTTGTTTTGTTTGGACATCTTTCAGTTAATGACGATATGATTTCGTCATTGGCTACCAATTACGAGAAATTATTTGTTGATAGAAACAATCGATGCGAAAGCGAAATCGTTCCTAATTTATTAGGTACGATATTTTTCATTCGTGATTATCATATTTATGAATCATTTTGAATTTCATATTTGTTAAATGATAAGATGCCATTATGCATTCAAAATTGTTTTCATCCATATTTCTTTCACATTATGTCCATCAAAAAGTTTAGCTAAATATCCTTTAATTTATTTGATGGAAGGCGAAGAACATGGCGTATGCAGCGTAAGCGATTTTCTTTAACGATACTAGTGATGCAAATGGTACGAGTTAAGGCAAGTGAAATTGTGTGAAAGTAGCGAGGAATGGTCAAAGACATTGATTGTTTCTTAATGTTTCTTAATCTTCCACTCTTATTGACCAAATTCCGCAACTTTAGAAGACTGTGAGCATTATAGTTCGATATGTTCGAACGTTTTTTTCAGATGATTCTGAGAAAATTTCACGATAGTTTAGCAAGATGGAAAAAAGCACTTCCAGTTATTATCCTGCTAGTCATTTCTAGTTATTATCGGAGAATCACTTCTTAAAATTTCCTCAGTCGGTGATAAAATAATAAAAGTAGATATTTATTGGAGTCTGAGTAAAATGAAAGGATTTTTATTATCATGTTGTGGTTGTTTTATTTGGAAAGTGTATTAATTTCCGATTATCACCTATTCGAATTGTCGTCCATAAGGCCATTATGCTCCAATAACAGTATTTTTCTGTCGTAACGCTATTGTTACCATTATTTTTTTAGTCGATATATCTTTATTTAATATCAATATTCGTTGGCCATTTCAGAAATATCGTTGGTATTTATGTAATTGAGGCGTTTCGGTATTTCGTTTAGAAATGTCTTTATCTCCAGAATAATCTTTCGATCATTTTTTTAATGAAATTCTGTTTTTCTAAAAATTGATTAATTTGATTAAAAGGTGGAAAATGTCAAATTTGCGAATTTATTTAATTATTCATTGCAGAATTGCTGCCTGATTTAACCAGATCTCATGGTGATGTTGCGCAAAATGAATCTTTTCAAACATATAATACATCAATTCAAGATTCTTGTGATTCTCAATCTGATCAAATCTTTAAGCATTTACCTCAATCATCCGAAAATTTATCGCAGGACGACAAATTAAATGAGGATGAAGTTAGTGAAAAGACAAAATGTAATACTGTGGATCATATAAGTGAAAATGATTTAATAGAACATTTAGATAACATTGATTTTATTGACCGCTAAATTTCTAAGTATTTTCAAAAAGCGAAATATATTTTAGGTTCGATAAAGTTGACAATCATTTTGAGGTTTTGGGTAAATTTATTGCGGATGTAATTATTAAGAGGAAATTAAGAAGGCTATAGTATTTCATTATTATGTGAATTCACTTCTTGAAAATGGTTCATTCTCCATCATTATTGGGTTTTCAATGATTTTTTTTATATTCCTCTGATTTTTTAAAGGTTATTTTTCTGTTTGGTTTTTTAATTTTATTGATGTGTAATATATTCCAACGAATATTGTTTTTTATTATTTTAATGATCTCTTCTATTGAACAGCACGCTTCGTATCTGATTTGGCTGCACTGACTATTAGAGTGCGATATTTCCAAGCCTTTTGATTTCCAAACTAATGCCAAGTTATTCCTCAAAGTCTGTATATGGCTGAGCTTTTTGTACATTCAGAATCTCTCTGCATTGAATCATCACTTCATTTCTTCTGATAGCGTTATTGCGGGTTTCGGTACTGGCGACAAGTGTGAGATGTTCCCAAACCTCTCGACCCGAATACATTCAGTGAAAGTGGTCGAAGCCACTCTTTTTTCCACTGTTTAAGCTATCATATAGCCTATGCGTTAAAAATCTCCTCTGACCGTGTTACTCCAGGTTTTGATTGTCCCTCCACACTTTTTTTGTCATCTACCATAGGATTTAATAAATAACGAAAAATTTGTGATTTCCTGCAATAGATGACGTAGAACCAGCGTAAATAATGCTTTTTGTCTATATTTTTATACAAGTGGTATTCGAGAGAAGGTGGATACAATATGAGATTCTATTTGGCGAATAAAAGTTAATTAACTTTTCTAGAACATCATCGTATCGCACTGCTTACCAGAGCATTGTTGTTTGAAACAGAGACATTGGCAAAATCTTAGCATATTATCAGTATTTGAAACGATTTTCTAATGTCCTTAGCGTAAAAATGCCCTGGCATAAATCCACCTTGGCTCATTTATTATTGCTACCTTAATGTTAGTATTAGTATTAGTAACATTTATTCGAACCTTAAAGTAAATTTTTTTTAAATTTTACATTTCTTATATTTTGTAAAATTATAGAAAATTTTACAAGTTTGCTTCACTTTTTTATTTCCCATTGATTTTTGCTTTATCCGTATTTATGCTCTATCTGTACAGTGATTCGAGGATTTCCTCATTCTGGTGCGTCAGTTCTATTTGTAATTTCGCATTTAAAAATCTTGCAATCCATATTTTCCATTCCATATTTTTGTATTTTTGATTTCTTTTACTTATTTAATTAGACTTTGACAGAGAAATTTTCTTAATTAAATATTGTAATAGCAAATTTTTATCTCATTTCTTTTTATTTTTTTTTATTATTTTATTATTGAATTATTTTATTTTATTATTAATTATTTTTTAATGGCTATTATTTTTTGTAGCAAATTTTAAAAATATTTTTTAATTTCCATCATTTTGTGATATCCAGTGAATCTGCCATTTCTTGTTACCTTATTCTCTTCTGCTTTCATCATATGGTCTCGATTTATGTATAAATCAGTTGATTATAATAAAACCGATTTCAAATTAAATTCATTATGACCAGTAAGTCAAGTCGCACTCTTTTTTTATATTTGAAGATATGCGCTCCACTTTTTCCTTGTTCTCCACTTTCCGTATTTTCAATAAAGTGCAATATTGAGGTAATTAGTTTTCCGAATTGGAATTTATGTTTTATCGAAATTTACGAATTTATTTCATTTTTAGTTTTTCGTTATGAGCAGTGACAGCGACGTACCATTATCGGCTATCGCACCTGAAAATAAAAATAAATCAGGCATCCATTCCAAGTATGAGTTTACTATTTACTTTATTATTCATTTAGTGATAAAAAAGCACAATAAGGTAAAGCCATATAAATAAGCTTAGATAAACATTAATTTATGCATCCTTTGATGTAAGAAGCAAAAAATGTGGCTATTTAACCGTAGCCAACCATGTATATTGCAAATTATACGCAAACCCACACTAATATAGATGATTTAATAAATAATAGGTATATAGCAATATAGGTAATTTATTGTGCTAGTTACTTTTCTAGGATCATTTAATTATTATCTTTTCCTTGCAGAAAATTACATGAAGATGTCGCATGCTCTTCGTCGACTGATCAGAGCGATGTTGATAAGGTGATTCTTTTAAATGGTAATTTAAAATTAGATGAAAAAGTATTTTTATCGTGATTCTGTACCAGTTCTGTACCATATTCATATTTTATTTATTATAGGACTCTACTGGCGGCGAACCAGTTTCAAAGAAACCAAGAACTATTGAAAATTTAAAACGAACTAAAAAAACCAGTGAACCAGTGGAAAGTGATAATTCGTCCTCATCTGATTCTGAAAATGTGCCTTTCTCATCGACTAAAAAAATCAAGAGAAAACGACCGCATACTAAAAAACTTCCAAAAAGTGAAAGTGATGCTTGTAAAAATGATCCAAACAGTCATGGAAATTCATCTAAAATAAAAAAACTTCGAAAAACAAATGATACTTCGGATATGAACAGTGCAAGAACAGATGAAGGAGAAACTAAAAATGTTGAGCGCATGAAGCAAAAAATATCGCAAATGTTGGAAACCTCATCCGAAAACAATTCAGATCAAGAGAATTCAGTACGAAAAGATGACAGTTCTGATTCAGATAACGATGGGTGAATTTCCACTTTTTTTTTGTTCGTTCATAAAAATTTGGAATTTATTTTTAATTGTTTTTTGATTAATTGCTTTTAATTTTAATTAATTTATGGAAAGAATGAGTGAAGAAAATACGAAATAAAAAATTTTTGCAAAAAATTTGAATTTTCAATTAGTATTTTGTAATAATTTTTTATCTTTGATTATTATTCCAAATCCATATTTTAAGAGGTTTTGAATTTTTAAAATTCGCAAAATGAATCCGTTCCATTATAAATATTTATTAATTTGATCGATTTTTTTAGGAATAAATCCGAAAAATTTCCCGAAGAATCTGTTGTCAATAATGAGGCTAGTTCATATCAGAATATTAATTAATTATTTTAATTAATTAAATCTTAATTATTTAATTTCTCAAGCTGAAGCATATTCAAAGTATAGATTGTTCTTTAATTTTATTTATAGTTTACTTCGTGAAAAATGAATGAAAAATTATCAAATCTGATAATAAAGCTCTTAATGCTTTCTTTAGGAGTTTTAATTGTGTTTGTAAATCAGCGAAATAAGGTTATTTGGTTTTAGATTTAGATAATTTGATAAATTCACTTGAAAATTTGATGAATTCTAAAATCTTACTGAGTTTTTAGGATAAAAAATCTGAACAAGGTGATGAAACAACAGATACATCAATTGCTGATGCTTTAGAAGAGCCTGCTTTGCCTAAAGAAACATCGCGGGATTCTGGTGAAATTAAGGGAAAAGCAAGTGGGAAAAAAATTTCGAAAAAAAAATCGGTATATATTTTCATTTTTCTGCAGAAAAGGATAAAAAGATAAATTTTGAACAATACTTGAATTGCTGAATTTTAACTTATATCTCCAAGAGCCCGAATTTATGAAATTTATTTTGTCCTAATTTTGTTCTAATTTTCCTTTATGATTTTTTCTTTCATATTTTGTTTTCTAGAAGGAAGAAAATATTGATGCATTTGCCTATCGTTTGAAAAAGCTTAAAAAATTCGTCATATTGGCGGGTTTTCGTCTTTGCTACAAAAAACTTTTCGAAAATGTAGAAAGCACAAAGGCGCAAGTGAAGATTCTGGAAGAGAAATTGCATGAGAAGGGGATTCAAGGTTTATTTTTTTATAATACCGTTAGGATTTTTAGTTTTTTATGCTATTTCTATTAATCATTATTTCTGGGAATTTTTCTGGAAATCTTTTTTTTTTAAGAATAAAAGATTTCTTCGTATTTATTAAGAATTATTGCAGTTCTGACCGCGGAGGCTTGTAAAAATTTTCGGCAGAGAAAGGAGGAAGAAAAAGAACTCTCTTATTTGAGTACCAATCAAATTATTGATCCTGGTTCCAGTATGTTTTTTTTTCTATTTTCATGTTAATGTGAATTTCACAATGTTTATTTATGTGATTTGTCATTGAGCTTTTTTTGTCCGTGCACTTCATGTTTATTTATTTTTTACATTTTGTTTAAATATTTTGAAAATGAAAATAAAACAAACATACAGGTTTTTGTTATATTTTTTGTTGTCTTTATTTAGTGCTATCTTATTCTCATTACTTATATTGCTTTTTTTTTCAGATTTTCGTGTAACTCGCAGCAGTTTAAGAGCCGAAAATGAGCGTAAAAATGATCGATGTGCAAGGCTATCGACATCGTCATCTGAAATTGATTCGGAGGTTGAAAAAATACGTGAAGAGAATAATCAAATATTTTCTCGCTTAAAAGGTATTGTTTCCGATGAATCGGATTAATAATTTGTCTTGTAGTACTGTGTTCACTCCATTTGAAATCAATATGCTCATGCGATTATTTTTTCGGCATATTTTTGCCCTTTTTCGTTTTACGAAAATTTCATTGAGTTTAAACGTTGGCAGTTATAAAAAAAAGATGCGGGGATCCTTGTTCTTTCTTATCGCTTAGTCTTTAAAATATTTTTTACTTCTGAATAGCTCGATAAAAATTATTTTTAATCTTTTAGTATTGGCTTTACCTTTTTTGGCTGAAGTACTGAAATCTCTTTGTAGTCTTATTTTAGTAACACTGGAATGTATCATAAACTAGAATCATTATATAATGGTTTTTTTTTGTCATTTTAGGTTCAAAACCTTTTTTCTTATTTTGCTGTTAGTTTTGCATAAATTTTTTATTTGCCACTGTTTCGTTTTTCATTCTGTAATTTTTATTTTATTATTCATGATTCTTTTTATTATTTTTTTCTTTTGGTTTTTTTATTAAATTTTATAAAAATCCATGTTTTCATGTCACTATTATCTTTATAAATAATTTAATATTGTTTTGATTATAATCAAACCATATGTTTGGTGTTTTTTAAAAGTATCATGAGTGAAGTTCTCGTAAAGGAAAATGAAGCAGTCGAAAGGCCTCTTATTTAATTGTATAATTTTTATAAATTTTAATTTTAATTAAAGGTGCAGGGATTCTTGTTCTTTCTCATCGCTCAGTTTTTAATTTTCAATTTTTCATACTTCTGAATAGCTTCATAGTTAATAAATAATATAAAATAGTAATAGTTTTTCTTATCAATCTTGATAAAATTACGTTTTTGATGAGGCAAGGCGATAGAGGCGGATTTCCGGATTTCCATCGATCGCCAAAATTTTCCTTTTATTGGCAAATTTATTGTTGTCAAAAAAATTAAATTTTTTCGTTAGGAAATAGTGGAGATTTGCCTTGCTGATGATCGCTATCTCTTATTTTATCATTGCTTTATGGCTTTTGATTGTTTGGCTTTTTTTCAATAAAACCAACCTCAAAATCATTAATATATTATTTTATATTGAAATTTGTAAAATTTTATTTCAATAAATGAATCAATTAGATTATTGAAACTTTAAAATTTCTATACAAATGGCATTGTTAAAATGTTTCGAAGTTTTTTTGATCCATCGAATAAATCCTTCCAAAAATTCAACGAATAGACTAACAGCAAATATTTGAACTGAACAAATTTTATGGAATTTGCTTTCACTATTTTATATTTTGTTATTAATGAATACTACAGTATTTTAATGTTAAAAATCTATTTTCTATTTTAATATTTTAATTATGTTTTTTTAGTTTTAATATTATTTATTCCATTCTTTGTATATTTTTACAATTATATTTTTTGCTAATGAAGTTTTTGAATAATTTAATAAATTTATTCGAATTTAGTAATTATTTCGAGGTTTAGTCGTAAGAGATTGATTATAAACTCTCTTTGAAACTGTCTAAGTTACTGATAAGCTAGGAAATGTTGAAATGGATGCTTGATTATTATCAGGTTTTTCATATTTGATAATTGATATCTGATAATTGATTATCAGATCAATTTGTGATGATCAGATGTTCTTTAATTATAGCAATCCTTTATTATTCATAGTATTATATTGTTAACATTGTTTTTTATAAATATTTTCTAGATTTTAATTTTAATTTTGGTGATTATCTTTATCAGATAGGGGATTAGCGAATTTATCTTATTTGGACAATAGCTTCTCGAGCCACGAACTGAATTATCGCCTTCGATGTAAAATTCTTCTAATATTTGAATGGCAACCGCAGCAAAAAAAGATTTTTTAACCTTATCAGACATTGATAAAATATTTGTAAATATCAGCTGATCATCATTTGACTTTGAATAAATATCTCGAATCCACTGTTGTACCAATTGACCAAACGAAAGCGGAAATTGCAGTCCACAACCACAACTAACAATGCATTTCTTCAACTTGTGTAACCTATAGAATCACCGTGATTTCATTTCGCTGTTAGGACCATCTTGTTGTAACTTCGGAAGATGAATTGGAGTGAAATATGTTAAGGATCTGTGATCATTGATGTCTTAAACGCATTCTACCCACCGAGCCTATAAAATCTCGATTGTATGCAACCACATGCAAATATGCCACCTATATTAACAGTAAAGGCGGCCAAGCGATATTTGGGCCTAAACCGTAGAAAAAGGAGTGGCTTCAATTATGGATCGAGTGGCTTAAAAACGCCTTACCCTTTTGGCCAATGAACGCAACCTAAGGGCCTTAAGCGATCTTTTAGGAGAGCATGAAATCTAAATTGATCAAGTATTAATTTCGATTTTCGATATTCGATATTTTGGTTCAAAGTTTTTCAAGATTTTCAAAAATAGATTTACTCTTGCGGAGCATAGAACCCCAGCTTCCCTCTTATTGCAAAAGTTTTCACGTCAAGTAGTGAGGAAAAAAAAGGTTTGGATTATTAATAATATACTTTATTTCTGAATTTCGAAATCGTCGAATTTTCAAATTTCCTGAAGTGAAGCTTGAATAAAACACTGAAAACTTCATTATCTCTCTGTTGCTTCATCTAAGCATAGATACTATTCCTGATTTGGTTTGCTGTACTAATGTACCTTTTGGCCGAAGAGTCCGTGAATGCTACCACTGGATCTTTACCGATGACTGCCTAAATCTTATTTTCTATCATAGGTTTGCTTCAATCAACGAGTCCGATTTCGTTTTACTTATAGAATAATACTGATAGAAAATACCATTCTTAAAATATATATGACTAGTTTTTTTAAAATTTAATGGTTCTTTTTATGCTTTCAAATTTTCTATCCTTTTACGGCTCTAAAAAAAAAAGAAACAAAGAGATGATTAAGAAATTCCTTGACGAAATTCAAGGAATAATAAATAAATTGATGCGAAAAAAATGAAGAGAAACGATCTTCAAAGAAATGAAAGCAGCTGTTTTCTTAAGTTCCTTTCATTCGAAATAGTTTTTTTTTTTCTCGTATATATATCTTTTTTTTCTTGGAAGCATTTAGTTCCATTCATAAAATTTATAAAGGATCAATAAATAGTAGACTTTAAGGCTTTCAAATATTATTCTAAGCGTCTAATACTCATTTTTTGTCGACAGCCCATGTAATTTTTGATTTGGCTGTTTCGCTGCTGGCAGTGCGAATGAAACGAGCTGGAAAATTAGAAAGCTTGGAATTGGAGATATGAATGGATGCTTGGCCAAGCGAATTTCACTTTTAGATAGGTTTAGTCTTTCGTCTGCATTTAAATTCTTGTTTTGGGTTCTAAATTTCAAGCGATTTCTTATCCACATTTCTTTTTTTTTTTTAAATCATTTTGGAAAAGAGTTTTATGTATTTATGTATTTTTATATTTTGTATACTATATTACTCTATTCTACTCTTATTATTCTATATTCTTATATTTATTTTTATATATTTATTATTATAACCATTATTTTATATTATATATTTTTTATTTTGTTTTTTATATATTTTTTATATATTTTATTTATTTTTTATTTTTATAATAATATTATTATCATACACTATAACACTATAACAGTGGATAGACATGAATGAGTTTCTAAAGTTTTTATCCATTAGTTCATTTTTATCTTCTAAATAATTTTAAAAAATTAAAATTTTGAAAAATTTAACTTAAAAAAATAAAAATAAATAATTAAAATAAAATTACTAATGCGAATAAAACAAAATTATAATAGGTAAAATTTATTGGCGACAAATTGGCGACAAATCTTGAGATGGAAGAAGAAAGTGAGGGCGAAAATGTAGGTCAATATTGCTCTCATTTCCAGGCACCATTACTCGGATTCTAGTCTGGGTAGTGCCAAGCTAATCAAAAACGGTGAAATATGAGCGTTCTTCAGAAAAGAAAACATTTGACATTTTATTTTTTTATTGAAGATATATTTATAATTCGAATTTAATTTAAATATAAGGGTAAAAGGTTATCATCATTTCAGCTCCATCGATTTGCCTAAAAATATTTATTTTTTATTATATTTTTATAAGAATGTTTTCAAAATTTTTGAAAAAATAATTTGATCATTTCTCGACGAGGATTTTTTAAAAAAAATAGCTGATTAAAGGTGAAATTTTATAAGAGTTATCACTGATTTTCTTGCGCTATTATTCCAAAGTGTCTGCGGTGAAAGGGTCTCTTTTAATTTTTAGTATTCAGTGAAATTTGCCAAGTGCATCATAAATGGTGTATAAAAAATTTAATCAATTTTATTATGGTTTGATTTTATGGTGCAATATTTTGTTAGATTATTTTGCAGAAAAAATTTTAGTTATATTTGTCTATTTTAATTTTATTCGAAACTTCATTTTTGGGGATTATTTTTTTCGCTGTGATTAGACTTCTTCTTCTTCTAATAGCTCTCACCATTATTAGTTAGACTGGCTTTAATGGTTACAAGGGTAAGACGCTTCCAAGCGGCGGAGTCTGATGCCATCGTCGACAATAGTAGAAGCCATTCCTTTTTTCACCGTCTAAGTCCTTATATTGCTGGTCCACCTTCAAAATCTTTCCTGGCCGTATCAGTCCAGGGCCATCTCGCTTTTGACGCCAACCATTACACGGTTTGGCAAATAACAAAATATGCATAAAATGCTGTTTTGGAGAACGTGCCCTAACCAGCTAAGGGGGCGCTCTGTGATAACATTATTTATGCAAGTGGTATTTGAACGAAGGTGGATGCGGTCATGTGAGATTTTATACTTGACGAATCCATAAAATATATCTTAGGCAGGAGTGGTCAAAAGCATATAACTTCTTAATATCCTCCACTCTCATTGGCCATGTTTCGCAGCCATATAGCCTATATAGGTGCAGACTTTTGTTTTCATAGTGATTTCACGACAGCTCCATAAAGGTTTTAGCAGAATGCATTTCTCGCTGCCGTAATCCAGATCGTAACATCGGCTATTGCTTGGCCATTCGGTATTAGAGTGGATCCAAGGTATTAAAATCGGGTATTTCCTCAACCAGCAATGAATCCATACAAAGAGGCATGTTATCAGCTTACACGTAAGACAAAAAAATTTATTATTTACATTGACTGTGAGTCTCGCTGCAATTGTTTACATGTTGTTTAGCATTATTTACATTTCATCATAACTGTCAGCAAAATGGACTACATCATCAGCGTATTCAAAATATTTAAGTGCAGACAAGAAGTATCCATGATCCAGTTTATTGCATAGTTGAATATTGTGGGGGGAAAGAACGCAGCCCTTACGGACACCTGTTCTTATTTCGAAGGAATCTGTCAGCTCCCCATATACACAAGCTGGGCCGAAGTGCGCTCATAAAATGCCTTTATGAGTCGAATGATCTCTGGAACACTGTCGCGTTCCATCATCCTCCAAAGCGCTGCTCTATCAATTGAATCAAAGGCAGCCGCAAAGTCGATGATACACGTTATAGTGGTTCATAAATATCTCAAGCGATGTTCCAGAACCCTTCCTAATGTGAATAACTGGTCACTACAACCGCGTCTCGATCTAAATCCAGCTTGATTAAGAGGGATCCTGCTGTCCAGTACTTCCATAAGTCTGTTGAGTAACAGAGAAGCAAAAATCTTCGCTGAAATATCTAGTAGGCTGATTCCTCTAAAATTGTCGCCAGTATGTCCTGTCACCTTTCTTTAAAATTGGGAGTAGAATTACTTCGCTCCAATCATTTCTTTTTTCCAAACAAAAGAGTACATTTGTTGAAGGTGCACAATGGACAACATTTGAAGCGTTCAGCCATTTTCTCCCGGATTCTTATTGGTCTTAAACTTATAGAAGATTATATATTGTTGGCTGCTGGCAATTGCAACCGTATGGTTCAATGATCGTATCCAAAGCAACAGGCGTTGTCGCATCATGATAAGGTTTGACCTCAAAGAATTCCTTCCATCTTATGAGACAATTTTTTATATACTTAACAACCAAGCTGGGATTAAACTATTAATAAATTTGTCATTTTATCATTTTTAGAATATTCGATCAGATTTTTTCTGATTATTGTCCTTCTTCTCATTCAAGCAATACTTGAGGATAGAATTCAAATAGGTCGTCAACAAATGTTTCGATTTCAAATTTATTCCCGGACAAAAGTCATATTGCTTGAACTTAGTTATCTTTAAATCGTTTATCTTTTCTGTCCTTTGGCAATTTTTTATTTTTATTTTAAAAAATCGATTGATTATTCGAAATAAATTAAATAAACTGAGGTATTTTTCGATTTTTTTCAAAGGGTTTCCCCATTAGCAATCATAATTTTAATCGTTTTAATATTTTATTTGCGATTTTTTATTTGTTCATTTTCTATAAAAAGGCGAAAAAGGAAAAGAAAAACACGAAATTTTTAGAATTTTCGCCATACATTGTTAAATAAAATATTGTCAAATATTTGATATTTGAGAGTAATTTGACATTTCTTTTATTTTCGAATCGCATCAAACGAAATCGACATTTATTGAATATTTTTTTTGGCGATAATCATTTTGCATGATTTTTGGCGTTTTCTTTCCTTGAATGTTCTCTAATTTTTGATTAGAGTCCGTCATAATTTATACATTTCATGAATAATTTCTTCATGATACACGATGGTGACAAGTAAAGAACCATCGTAATGTCCGCTTGTCACATCTAATTCGCCGAATGCTTTCAATAACCTGGGTTTGGTGAGTCGCCAGCATTAATGCGGATTTTTACTCCTACTAGGAATAGAACCTCAGCCGTAGCGCTCCGAAATTGGAGCAATAATTCACTGAGCCATTCCATCTTATCTTTAATCATATTATTTTTTAACCAGTTAGGATTCCTTTAATTAATTACCATAAATTACCACATATTTGTTGTAAGAAAAAATACGAGAAATCTTTAGAAATGCCATTATTATTATTATTATTAAATTATTATTATTATAATTGTTATCGTCATATCATTTTTATTTTTGTTATTTTAATTGTCATTATTATAAATTCAGTCATAGTAATAATAATAATAGTTTTTAATAACAATAATAGTAGTAATAATGATAATAATGATTATATTATAATTGTTTTCATGTTTATTATTATTTTTACCATAATTATTATTTTTAATATTTTTTTCACTGAGTTATTTTTCGTAAGTTGAGATTATTTTATTTTACATTTATATAATTTTCCATTACTTTTTTTAACCAATTTGCTTAACAACTAAAGACTAAAAACTTGTTTATTTGAAAAATAAATTGAAAGTTTGAAAACTTTTTATTATTTTTTTATTTATTTTTATTTTTTAAACCATTTGATTTGATTAATTACCTTAAAGTTCTTGAAAAAAATATTTGAAAGACTTTTAAAATGAATGAAAATATTAATATATACTGCTTTTAAGGAGTGCTATGCATTTAAAAAATCTCCTCCTCATCCCCTGTGGATAGTTTGGGTCACTTTCAACCTCGGGTCCTTTACCAGAGTCTTGCGAAGTTCGAAGTAAGGCAGATAATCTTTCAGAGAATCTCATTCAAAAATCCCCAATTTTTTCCGTTCCTAGTAGTAGCTGTTCTAGATATGGGTCTCTGATGTTGCTCCTGCAGAAGCCGCTTTTCTAGTTCCAAATGCTCTAATTGTCACCGGGATTGCTTTGACCTGCATTTTCCACATCTTTTCTAGTTCTTCCCTCATCCTCTGTTTTTACTGCATTTTACCGTGTATCTTTCGACTTTTCCCATCATTGTATTGTATAGAAACACTTTATAAGTTCCTCATCATCGCTTGCATTTCACTTCTAATTATCAACGCAATAACTTCCACCTCCGTTTGAAACAAGCAAACATGTGTTCATTTTTCATTTCGCCAAAACTTTTTGTGAATTATTTATTATTTTTCTCAAAATATTTAGTTTCCTGAACAATTTTTTAAATGATTTATGAAATGATATATGTGTGTGTTTGTGTTGTGACAGGATAGGAAGGATAATAATAAATATTAATGCAAATAAATCTCATTGTTGAATTTAATCATTGACTACTGCTGAATAAAATTGATGAAACATGGCCTAGCAAATATTGTATCTTTTTGGTATTATTATTAATAATTATTATTATCACTATTATCATTGTTGTTATTACTATTATTATTATTGTTGTTATCATTTATTATTATTGCATTATTATTACTATTATTTATTATTATTGACATTTACTTTTATTTATTGTATTAAATATTATTAAAAACCGATTAAATAGCGATCAAAATTTTTTCAATTTTTGCTAAATTTGTTGTATTTATATTAATTTATTAATATTCACTCATATATCTTCTTTTTATTTTATTATTCTTTTTGCAAAAACTTTAAAAATATATTCGAATTTATTCAAAGAAAAATTATAATAATATATGCTTATGTTAATTTAATTAAAAAAATTTAGAAATTATATTAACGGGCAAAAATGAATGGAGGATATGTTTTGTACTAAATAATATTATTGTTAATTATTATTATTATTATATTATTATTAATAATATTATTGTTATTGTTGTTAATAATAATAGATAATTCTATTTAATTTAGTTTAAAACCACATGCTGAATAGAAATTCTTCAGAAATTCTTTACATTTATAAGTAATTCATTCCAATTCAATTAATAAAATTAATAAAAGCTACGAGTCAAAGAATTGTGCGAAAAAGTTTTGTCTTAGAAGTAGGTTTTTGTATCTATATTGTTTCTCTTATTGTTGGAATTTTATGTAATGCAATAGGCTTCTGAATCAGTCAAATATTATCAGTAATATCTGATAAGGCAAGAAATTTGAATTTAAAGGTGATTTGCATAGGAATTCTAATGTTCGTCCTTATCGTCCATTGGTGCAAAAAGATACCAAAATTTTTTATAACAATTATTTGGTATTATAAAAAGAAGAAGTATTATAAAAATTTAGCTATTTAATATAAAATTATAGGCAAAAAAATGATAAAAATGATAAATTAAAGAATAAAATTTGAACGTGAAGACGTGAAAAAAAACGTGAAATGCATCATCTCTTCAAATTTCTATTCGTAATTTTATAAGCGAAGTAGATTTTATTTAATTAACTCTCGTAATCATTCCTACAATTTTAAATTCGGTTCTACTAAATCCAAATAGAATTAAAATTCAATTTCTATAGTAAATAATAAAATACGTATGAATTTAAACGGCGTAAAGTCATTTGCATATAAAAATGGAAATATTTACGTATCGTTAAAAGTAATCTTTCGAATATTCTACCGCAGATCAGCCATCGTTCAAACTTAAATTTTTATAAGCCTAAATGAACATCGATAAAATAATTTTCAAGAAATATAATTATAAAATAAGTAATTTAACATAAACATTAAAAATTAAACATTAAATATTAAAAATTTTCATTATTAAAAATATTAAAAATTTCGCTAATTCGATTATTTCTTATGGAAGAGAAAAAGTTTAGTTAAATCTTTTACGCTTATCATTTATCATTTAGACTCAATTCGACTAAACTCGTTAAGCCAGAAAAAAAAAATTTTTTTAAAATAATTTTTATTAGTCATTTGGCGAATATGAGTAGAATAATAGCAGTGTTCGCTAGTGTTAACAATTAATTAATTTCGTTTTCTTTTTCTTTTATTATAAAAATTTATAAATGCATGAAAATTTAAGTATTTACAATAAAATTAAAATGCAACAACGATCACGAAGCTTACAAAGTTCACTGAAGCGAACTCGTTTTGGAAGTCGTTCGTCGAATAAATCAGTTCGTTTTGCTGACTGGGAGGGTGCTTCGTTGATAAAAGTTCGTAATTTGAGCGCGGATGATGTACGTGAAATTACACCAAAACCAAGTACGTCGGAAGATGGAGAAATACAAATAAGGTTGTTTTCATCTTGTTTCTCCTAATATTTAATAAATTAAAAAATAACCCTTTTTTTTATACTTAATATTATTGACAAATTCAGTGAAAATTGATTAATTTTTGTTTTTATTTTTTTCGACCGGGGGGATAGAATGGAATGGCTCAATGGGTTATTACTCAATCGAGAGCGCCAATGCTGAGGTTCGATTCCTCGCAGGAGTAAACCTGTACAAAAATCTGAGTGATGCTTACCTGTATTTCTATCGCTAAGGAACTTCCTGGCATACTTGTCTAACGGGACAAACCAGCCGAGCAAGTTTAACCAGTAATAATGACCGTTTTTTTATACTTAATAATATTGACAAATTGAAAATTGATTATTGATTTTTAAATAAAATTAGTTTATATTAAAATAATGAAATTCTTATTAAAGCTTAAAATCGCTCACATATAAAGCAAATTCCGTTACCGGAATAATTCAAGTGATTAATCCGCAAAGCGAACAAAATGACGGTGAATGTGTAAGTTTAATGAATTCGTTAATAATTTTTATACATAATTAAAAAAGTGATTGGTACTCACCATTATCGATGGCTAGGCTAGTTCCATTGACCGTTAATGCGATTAGAGATTTTCTTCAAGGAATCAAATAGCAATAAAAGGTGGATCACCACTGCAAGAGGTTTTTTAAAACAGGTTTGCACCTATCGGAAGTAGAAGTCGATTCCTTGCCTTTCAATACAACAATAAGCAACCCGCTCTCCTGCTTCCTATAACTTCTTGACAACTTAACGATATTCGCTAGTAATTTAGAATAAATAGATGGCAGATTAAAATTTTTTACTTTGCAGCTTTTCATAATACTTTACGTTGACAAAGGAGGACAAGAATACCGTAAAATTTTAGCGTTCCGCGAATCAGTATGTAAAGACAATCTCAGTCGCTGGTATTTTTGTGTAAATCTTCAGGTATGTAAATTTGCAACAATAATAACCTATCTGTCCTTTCTGTCTCAGAATCGCACTGAAGACCTATCTATTTAGGCTCTTATTCCTAAGCGAATTCTTTGGCTAAAAGATCATCTTATATAGACACTTCAGCCACAGCCACAGGTCCCCACAGCCAGCGGAATAAGAATGGACTTATCAATGGACTAATTATCATATGATTTGATGACATTCAGGACCTATACAAATATTCTCAGTGCTCTTTTAAAGTTGAATATACTTATGGCGACAATAAAGTAACTGACGACAATAATGGTGAACTTTATGCGATTCAATTTGCAACATCGACGAAAAAATTATCATATTATTTGTCACAAGAATCTTTTCTATCCGATTTATTATTTCAAGAAGAACTTGTAATATATTAATCGAAAAATTGTGCATAATTAGTACCATTGATGAATTATCCAAATTATTTAAACTAAATTTATTGAAAATTTTTTATTAATTTAGGTATTAATTAGATTATAACAAAAAATGAATATTTAATGAATATTTATTATTATTTATTACTGCTGAATTTTTTAAAATATATTCATTCATGTAATTTTTTCGAAAATTTTAAAACATTTAGTATAGAAATTGATTTTTTTTAGGTTTCTATAATTTAATTAGTTTTTAATAAATTATAACCACAATTATAATATTTTAAGATAAATGATTTTGAAAGATATTTTACTGACTGATAACAATTGGAAAAGATAATTTATAAATTAATAAATTAGCAATAATAATTCTATAAAAAATAATTATTTTATTAAAATAATTAAATAGATAATAGTTTTATTAATAAGTAAATAATAATAATTTTATTATTAATAATTATTAATAAATAATTAGGATTATTGAGGAAATTTATTTATCTTTCAATTAATTTAGAAAAAGAAAAATAATATTTCGATGTTTTCATTTGGTAAATTTATAATTTGCCTCGTAAATAAAATTTTTTATCCAAAATAAAACAAAAATCTTATGCAACTAAATTACAACTAAAAATGGTGCAGCAAAATTTCTTAATGCCAGGCTCCTATTTTTTGTAAGGAGTTGTCTTATATAAACCAGTTATAATTTGCCTATACAATTTTCTTAACTGCGCTCTTTTTATTTTCATTGTTGGTGTAAGAAGACCATTTTCCATTGAAAATGCTTCGCATGTTAGATGAACGGCTTTCACCTGTAAAATTTTCCAGTAAATAAAAAAAATCACATTTCTTATCAATTTGTTTATCACGATTATCAAAATCTCAGAAATGATGCATATTTTAAATTTTTAAGAAATAAACTGAGAAAATAAAATGAGAAAAGAACCACTAAGAATTTTTTAAAGATTACCTGTTCAATAGAATTGAGATTATTCTCCTTGCCAATCTTCTGCAATTCATTCAGCACATAATCTTTAGCCTTAAATAAAAATAAATTTTAGGGCAAATTTTTAAATATTATCACTCGTCACTCCCGATTTATCAAACAGAAAGGAAAACCAGAAAATAAATATTTTAAGATAAATTTATTGATAACGATAGGAAGTGTTGAAAATTCATTAAACTAATATTAATTCAAGAAAAAAAAGGAAAAAAATCAACTTAAAAATACTCAACTCTCGATACTCTCCCATTAAAAGCGAGTAGTACAGCTTAGAATCCGGTCTTTGAAGAGAATTTAAAATAAAACAAGGTTATCAACTATCAACTATTTGCGCGTCTGTGAATTTCGGGTAAAAGGAAAATTAATAAAAAAATATTGATAAAGAAATTTTGAAAAGTGATAAAGTGATCTAATTTACTTTACTTTCATTTCCATCAATCACGATCTATAAAACAAAAAACCAAGAAAACCAAGGAGTGAAAAATGATAACAGACTTAACAGTGCAAATTTTTTAAAAAAAATTTGTGATGAACTTCTTTCATAGTCAAAATCTCCTTATATGGCTTTTCACTATCACCAAAATTTTCTTTGAACCAATTTTTCATCACCGATTCTACAGGTACAACGATCGCAACTAAGAATCTGAAATTTATGAAAAAATCAATTGTCAAATTTTATAATTCGAAAATACAATTCGAAATAGAATAATTTTTTTTATTTGAAATTCCACAGAGAATGAAATTTACCTTTCTAAAGAGTCACCATCAACAAATATTTGCTGGACACATGGTGCAAATGAGTAGACGTTTTCAATTTTATCAGGTGCAACATATTCACCCTGTAACGAATTCCTTTCCAATTTCATTCTTGTAAATAGTATAAAAAATTCGAAATTAAAATGATATATTAATGAAAAAAACAGCCAAAATAACATTTTTTAACTCACCTGTGCAAGTTTAAATATATTCTTTTTCCTGTCTATTAATTTGATGGTACCATTCGGCAAAATTTCCCCAATATCACCCGTGTGAAGAAATCCTTGATCATCGAAAAGTTCAGCAGTCTTTTCAGGGTCCTACAAGATTAATCAATTCCATAAAATAAGAAAAATTTGGGTGAAAACGAGCGGCTAACTTTGTAATGTCAACTTTTTTTACCTGCAAATTTATAAGAATTTTTTTGTACGACACCATTCGATCACAAAATTAATCTTCTGAATATTCTTAGAACTTTTTTAAAAAGCCTCTTATAATCGCTTTTGTCAAACTTATCTTATCAATATCTTATCTTATCGTAATCGAAATGTATTAAAAAAGATTTAAGTAAATTTTTGAATAAAAATTTTAAAAAAATTATGTTTATAGTAAAATTCATCGCATTAATCAATTATCACTTATAATAGTCAATATTTATTTACTCGAACTAAAATATAGTTCAAGTAAATATTTATCAAATATATGAGTTATTATTTTTCAGGTTTATAATATTTGCTAAAAATCTTAAATAGTTCTTTGAAATGCCTAAGAACGAATAAAAAATTTTTATGTGAAACTGAATACAATTACTGTATAATTGTATATTACTGATAATGTTTCATATTATTCTATATTAGAAAATTTATTAAAATTTATTTGGATCGGATGGATGCAAACCTTAAAATATCCTTGTGTTACATGCGGACCCTTAACCATTATTTCACCTTTACCTTTATCAGCATAATAGTCAAGCTCAGGAACATCAGCGAGCTTCAACAATGTGCATCCAAAAGGTGAACCACAATGATTCCCTTCTTTTTCGTCTGGCCAAGTAGTAGTAATCATTCCAGAACATTCTGTTTGTCCATAAGCTATAAATGATAATAATTAAAAATCTTTATTAGGATCTTAAAATAAGTTAATTTTCAGCTTGAAAATCAATATATCGCTCAGATTTGATTAAAAGTTTAGTTTAACAATGGGAAAAATTTTTCGATTACCTAATATCAATTTTTGAATTAACCTTCAATTAGTACAACACCAAATATCACTCGAACCGTTTCCAGTATTTTGGCACTAGCCGGGGCAGCGCCAATTCCAACCAACTGAACTCTGCCACCAAGTAATTTCTGCAATAAATTGGCGTTTCAGGCAACAATCCTCTAAATTATGAAAAAATTATCCAGATAACAATTAAGAGAAATTAATATTAATTCGATGCAGCCCTCAATAAACTCGTTTATTATAATAGTCCTCTGTACCACAACGTGATAAGCGATAAAAGACTTTGTTGAGCGAAGGAATGCGACAGTTTTTAGGAGGGCATTGAAGGTGTATGGTTCGAGGGTATCATTCAAAGTAAATTTTTAGGAAGCTATTACTATCTTTATAATGTAATTCTAGGACATTATTTCGAAGGTTCTTCAAGGTTAAACCATTTAAATAATAATAAATATTGCCTCTTCCATCCTTTTCTAAATGAAATAAAACGTTAACTTAAACCTTAATTTATAAATTTTTTGTAATAAAATTCTATTAAGAAAAATATTTTAACAAGTGAATATTCCTTAGTTTAGTTCCAATTCTAATTTTGATAAGAATAAAGAATGAAATGGCACAATAGATTGTAAAATATTCTCTTGCAAAATTTGATAAACCAATGGAATATGCTTAACCATAAAATGGTGAGCGATCACAACAAAAGCAATAGAAATGACCCACATAATTAAAACCTCTCAGGTAGAAGTAAACCTGAACTAAACTATTAAAAAAGTATATATTCAGATTCAGAGGACAGTAAAAATTCAGTGAGCCATCAGCTTTGGCCCATTTAGTTAGAAAACCATTTTGCGTACAATTTGTGTCAAATATTACCTGAAATTTCGAAAAAATGATCCTATCCCAAATTGAATCAGTCGTAATTATACCTTTCTTAAACAGTGATAGTTTTCGCTGATAAGCGAAGTGATATAAAGATCTAACCAAGAAATTCTGCTTTTTAACATTTTCCTATAAATAAAAATAATTCTCCGTGATAAGGTTTTTTGTAAATTTTCCGATTTGTCCGTGAACAACTGTTATAGATTTCTTAAATTGTTTTTATATATTATATAATATATACAAAACAAAGTTAAAAAACAACGATTCGAAAAACTTCAAAAATTTTTGGTGTTGGTACCTGTATTTCACCACAAATCTTGTTTAAGATTCGTGGAACAGCTGGGAACAAAGTGGGCCGCAAATCCTGCGCATCATTAAGCAATTCTAACATATTGCCACTGTAATATCCGACAGATCCTCCACTAATAAACATGCACCAGTGAGAATCTTGTTCACCCATATGAGCAAGCGGCATATAGGAAATTTGAATCTAAAATCAAATTTTCGTCTAGTATCGGATTTTAACATAAAAAATTGATCAATATTAAATTCAGAGAATAAAGAAAATTAAGAAAAATAAGAAAAAATTCAAATATAATAAATAATATAATATATAATATATATTGAACAATATAAATTTCCTCTCTTAATCTGTGGTCGCCAAAATAACGAATCTTAAATAGTTCTACTGGAAGAGGGAAAATCTGCCATAAAAAGTCGGATCCAAATGATTACTATTACTCCGCATTTTTAGTCTAAGCGATTTTTCATGGGAAACATCATCCTTTATCTTCTAAGCACAGTCGATGAAATTAGCCAAGTTAGAAATGACTCAGATGGAAGTCTTAGGCAAAAAATTTATAAGGTCGGAATAAATGCAATAAAAAAGAAAAACGAAAAAATTCTTTCACTTGGCCTGGAGTGAGAAAATCAGGAAAGAATGTTTTTAGCATAAAATGATAGGATGAGATATTTGCATTTAAATTTCGGTGAGTAATAATAACACCTTTGGGAATATTCGTTGTGCCACTCGTAAAACTGCAAATAACTCAATTTCACACGCTAAGAAAGTAAATTCTCTTTTCCTAGTACCGACGAACTTTGCCATGATTACCGATAATCACCGATTATCACCTCACCAAAAAAATCGTAAAATTATTACCAAATAATATAAATATCGTCTGGTTTTGGCAAAACGATTTCGCTTGAATATTCATCGCCTTGACTAACTAAATCTTGAAATGCATAAATCTGAAATTTTTTCACCTCTTCAACTCGCATTTTTTTCCGAGAATATCAAACAAAATATTTAGAAACTAACGTTCACCTTCACTTGACCAGTCACCAAATTAATTACTTCACCAATGTTTGTTGTATCAATCAAAATAATGTTTTTAACGCATTCAATATTTGCAGAGAGTAATTTTTTCGCTTTTTCCGAATCGCTAACAACAATTGAGCTGAAATAAAAGAAATAAACAGTTGGCCTGCTTTTGTTCCAATGATCAAATTCTTTAATTCAACCAATTTGCTTTATTTCGAAAATTTCATTCCAATCGCTTTCAAAAATCTTGAAAATCTATCAAAAGATTTAGGAACTTGAAAAATAAAAAATGAAAGTGAATAACCAAAGACCTCAGTTCACAATGTTCAATGATAAATTTTACTGCTTCAGGCCCAAGAGTGTCGTATAATGGCACAATGACCATTGAATACTGGATACAAGCCATAGCGGTAAGGAACCACTCCACGCAATTTTTAGAATATATTCCAATGCGAGTCTCATTTCCTAGAAATTATCTTATTTAGCCAGTTAATTTTGTTTTTCCTTGCTTCTGCTACCGGTGTAAATATATTAGCTGTGACTGTTAAGATGAGTTTTGGCTATAGTAGCGTCGCCTGGCGATGAATATAGCTGCCACTATCTTCACTATCACTTTAGCCGATCTACTTACATCAAAGAATAAGCATCCTATCTATGTTGTTCGCCCGATAGGAGACAGGCGAAAACGCTATTTGCCCTCAGGCGAAATCAAAGAAGTGACATTCCCACTGGGAATTCCACAAAATTATCGATAAAATGAAAGCCATTCCTTTAAATATACCCATACCTGCCTTATGATTTAACTTTCCAATTAATGTCGAGCCGAATTTACGTGATTGTTCAAGTACTTCCGAATATTTCATAGAATGATACGGTTGTTTGGCTGATAATCTGCGCCAAAGACATGGTCCATCTCCACTAACCTTTAGTTTTCAATTTTTTTGAAATTTTTGAATACGAAGTGGTTAAAATAAATCGAAAATAACCTCGAGACCATGCATAAAAACTTCATAAAGTGTTGTTATATCAGGTGAAATTTGTTCCACAGGTGATTCGGTATCAACCAAATAACCACATCGATATACTCTTTCATTATTCTACAAAAAAATAATATGAAATCCTTATGATTTTCAAAGTATAAATTTAAACTTTCATATATTATCATAATAACTGAAGTGATAAGAGTGATAATTAATAAATCATGCGAAATCTTATCAATTAGAATGAAAATCGAAATGGGAAAATCACTATAAATTCAAAAACCTTCGCATATGGGATAATGTGCTTGAAGTAGGAATGGTTGAAATTGTATCTTCCACTCTTATTGGCTAATTTCCGCAGCTAAGTACAAATTATTACAAATTATACAATAGGATTATGCTTTCTACAATGAGATAGATGTGAATTTTTGCTTTGAGGCTGATTTTGGGGCGATTCCAGGAAGATTCTGCCAGGCGAAAGAAGACGGACGCCTCTGGCTGCAATTATCGTCCGAGTTGGAAGCTGGATTTCATCTTTCACCCGGCCAATGGCTATTAGAGTGGATTTGTGATATCGGACTGTCTCTCATCAATCTCTTGAAACACTCATGAATTTATAAGAACTATTTTTTTATCAGCGACTGATATGAAAAATATTCATCTCAATTCATATTGTCTTAATTTAATTTATATTGAATTTTCGATTGACACCCGGATTAGCGTGTGTTGCAATTCTTCTCAACAAAAAGGACAACACCGATTGCTTTTAGTATATCTGCACAAAGATCAATCCAGTAAGATATTTTCGTTTGTGGATGAAAAAAAATATTTCTATCAAAATTTTTAATAAGTCAATAAATATAAAATTTATTATTTTGTAAAATAAATAAAATATAAAAAGATATAAAAAATATGTAATATAATAATGGAAATCAATAAAAAAATCAATTTTAAAATAAAAGAAATTTCAAAATTTTGTAACGAAATTTTAAAAAAATTAAGATATAAAAAATTGCAAAAAATATTCAAAAAATTTTGGTTTCCTATTAAAAAAATTTCTTTACTGCAAAAAACTTGTTTGAACCCTTTGACTTGGATGGTTAGGATGCTTCAACAGAAAAATTAAGTTCATCAACAAGGCATAGGCATAACCACAACGATTAGGAAAACGATCACCATTTTTGGTTAAGCTCGCTCCGCTGGCTTATCGGGCCAAACAAATTTTATTAATGAGTTGCTTGGCGATAGAAATGAATCGTTAGCATCATCTGGATTTTAGAACAGGTTTGCTCCTGCTTGACGTAGAACCTCAAATTCGGCGCCTCAAACTGAGCAATAAGTTGAGCCATTCTACCTCTTTCTATTGTCACCATTAGGCGAAATTCTCGGTCGAAGCGCAGCTCATCGCCCAAACTCGAACTCGGTAATAATCATTGCCACTAAATCACCAACGCATTTGCATTTGTATATATATAGCAGTTTTAGAAGGTCCTAGCTAATGGATGTGGTCTCAATAGTGAATCCTAAATTGCTTCCCCTTGAAAGTGTAACTCAAGGTAATGATACCAGACGAATGTTGAAGGCAACTCGTGGAGTAGCCTTGCTACATGAAAATTGGCTGCAGTTCGATAGATATGAGCTGGTTTGAGACGTTCAGTTGAAATCTTATCTTTAGCGAAAAATATTCGCTTCAGTCGAAATGGGACTCTTCATAAATGGCATTGCAAAGACTTCAGTAGTGTCGCGTCTAGTAAACTTGTGTAAACAGAAATTAAGAAATGTAAATCAGTTATTTGTCTTGTGTTTTTAATAATGAATTGAAAAAATTTAGTTAAGCAATGACTATAGTGATAAGTGAAAAAATAAATTATGATAATAATAATAATTATTATTATTATTAAGAGGCTATCAACCTTTCACCGTTCTTGTACGAGATACAGAACAGCCGAGCGGATAAAATCGCATATGATTGTATTCACCTTCGTTCAACTACCACCTGTATTAATAATGTTATCACAGAGCGTCGCTTCCGCTGGTTAACGCACGTTTTCCGTCGTTCACCATAGGAGTCGACATATATCATATTTCGTTACTTGCCGAACCCTATGATAGCTGAAAGCGAGGAGGGCCAATCAATGCGGAGACCGATATAATCAAGAAAGATTTTGAACATATAGAGCGATAATCGATATATGAACGATGGAAAAAGGAATGGCTTCTATTACTAATAGCGATGGCGCCGCACCGAGCAGCTTGGAGACTCTTGTAGCCAGCGGAGTCAGCCTAACCAGTAATGGTGAAAGCTGTTAGAAAAAGAATGATAATTATTTAAATAAGTAACTAATAAACGAACTTTTAATGGAATTCCTTGTCGTTTTTCGTTGAAACGTTTATCACGAATAATTTTTATTGTTTTCATTCGATTTGTTTTCTTATAAATTAACAATAATAATACAATAATAATGATAATAAATATCATTCAAACGATGAACGTTATTTATAAATTTATTGATTAAAATAAATATCTGCGGTTTTAGAATTAAGTATTTAAAAAATTAGGTAGGTGATAGGTAAGCGATTGGCAGTCACCTATCTCACTACATTAGCTCTTATGATGAGAGAATTTTGTTAAGGAGTTACTCGAGGATGGAAACATACATGACATCCAACAATAAGAGAATTTTTTAAATGACAAGCTTGTCCCTAGTAGAATATGCACTGAGGAAATATAATAGCACTGGGAGGTTCATTTAATGATTTGGGGGATGTAATGCGATTTTTGGAAGATGGAGGTACGCTGAGAAGAGATATTTGCAAATAGGGCATTTAATAATGATTGCGAATGGTGGAAAAATGATCGCATAAAACTGCAGAAAGATTCCTTATCCTCCTTGAATGTGGCAGACTATAAGGATTGCTGGGATGTGATATATGATAAGCACAATTAAGTTAGGTAAGATAGGTGGCAATCATTGAAATTCCACAGGCAGAGAATACAGCTGAGTTCGAGGATGCAAGTTTGGCTATGCTAAAGGTATTTGAAGGACGCTATAAGTTGAGACGAGTGGCAATATGGTTTCCCAGTTTTTAGATTGTTATGAAACAAGATGGCAAATTATATGACTATTTTTTCCTAGACATTATTAGTTATAAGACTATTAATCTTTTATTAACATTATGCTATTGCTGGTATTTTATTGGATATGATAATCAGTACGTTCAGATAATAATAAGGAAAGAACTCAATAATAAGGAAAGAATGTTGTTTCAGAATTTAAAGTTATTTGTGTGAAAGTACCATCTTTGATCACTTTTATTAGCGATGGCAAATTAGGATCGATGCTTCATTTTGCCTTCTTTCCTCTCTGAAGTCTAAGGCTGAAACTTTGTTAGACTTCGTGAAATGACTTTTACTACCAAAAAAGAAAACGCTTGACTTCTTCTCGTTTAATTAAAATAGAGAAAATAAAATTTGAAAATTGCAAACAAAAAATACAATGAAGCAATAAAAATAAAATTTCTAAAAATTTGAATTTCAAAATTTTTTAATTTTTTAATGATAATCCTTAAATACTCGCTCCGACTCTTCATGAAAAGACAGGTTGGCACCATTCAATTTCACCATGAAAATTAATTTTTGATTTTGCTTTTTCTTTCTAAGATCACCAACCATTTCCGTTTCTTGGATCAAACAAATTTTGCCATGGCAATAACAGTACAAATAGTTTATCACATGGAAAAACAATTTTATTTTTATAGGAAGAAAAATCTGCACCATTGGTGCTGCGAAACTTGTCATTATTTAGTTCTAAGTACAACACAATATTTACTTCTAAATACATTTCATTTCCAGTTCTATCAATTGTAAAAATTTATATTTTTGTGTTCAAAAATGGAATAAAAAAAGGTGACAAATTAATTTTCTAAATTTTCATTTCATTGAATGTTTCCATAAGAAAGTTTCGAAGAAATATTTTGACAAAAAAAAGATGAAGGAAGAAAGATTTATTGTTTCATTTTTTATTATTATTTATAATTTATATAAATCACAGACAATATTTAGGCTATTATAATGATGTTTGAAAATCATTATAAAAATTATTATTGCTACCTGTGGTACTAGTAAACCTGTTATTAACAAATTAGGCCGATGCTATCAAGCCAGTCTGTACTTTGTTCACCAAACAACTCTCTGGACAAAAATTTCTCGGTGATAAATCTAACCAGAAGCACTCATTTTAACTTTGCAATCTTGCTAAACCGTTTAGGAAAGTTCGGTATTCGTTTTGTATAATCTAAAATTTCACTATCTCGGATGCAAATCGGTTGGAACCATCATTAAATTAACGACTAGTCAATGGGTTACTGGGTGTAAAATATCGATGGATTTCCTTATAAAAACTATGGTTCGTTAAATTTTTCCTTCATTTTCGAATAGCGATGAATAGCACTATTTGTCATTAATTTTTGTGTCATATGATTGTAATAATGAATTTTCATATGATTTTATTTTCATTTTGATTTCATTAAAATTAAAAACAAAAATTTCCCATTAATTTTTTCTTTTATGTTCTTCGATATCAATTTTATTGACATGATTTGAGTACAAAATTTATCAAATATGCTTCGCAATTCTTTTCCTTCATCTCAGAATTCATTTGTCATTTGATTGATTCTACCGACAGGTTGGAGCTACCTGTTAGTCTCAGTTAGTTCCAAAATTAGAGATAAAATGGCTCAGTGGGTTATTAGAGATGCCGATACTGAGGTTCTATTCCTGCAGGAGTAAACTTGTCCAAAAATCCGGTCTATTCCCTGCCATAGTTGTCCAGTGCGACAAGCCAGCAGAGCGAGTTTAACCAGTTATGATGAGGACCCTTAAAGAAGTTATTTACTATAAACTGATTTGAGTGAGGCGATAATTTTTGAGAAAACTCAAATCGTCACAAAATTGCCAAAATATTATTCATTGGAATTAATCCTGAAAATAAAGTTTTTTTTGCAGAAATTAAGGTAGTTTTGAAGAAGTTCCATAGACTTATTTCGGACTTCATTTTTAGTTTCGTTGGTTTTTAGTTTTTTTTCCATAAATTTATTACACAACTTATTTATTTAAATATTTTAATAATTTAGTAGTTCCTCAAATGTGAACTTTTTCTTATTCTCATCGATATCGTTAGAAGCCCATGTGTGGTAATTTTCATTCCTATATGTTAAACAAGGCGTAATTAAGGATTGCAATCGAAATCATGCGCTTATGCAGTTCATTCCATTCACAAGCAATATAATACTCCAGAAAGGGCTGTGAAAAGGATGGTTTTCGGATATTTATTTTCTGGTGAAATCGAAATATTTAGAAATAAGTCACAAAGTATTTTTGTGAAAATAATACTTAAGAACTGAGAATATTTTGCATTCCATTTTTTTGAAAAATGAATATTCCATTATTCAATTTTTATTTTTATAAAACTTGTTTCGTTATCATTTGGTGATTATTGTTTTTAGGTGTCCAATAAATAAATAACAAGTAATACCAAGTGAACTATTAAATTATTAGCGATCTAATAACCCACCTGCTACAATTAAACTCGTTCCCCTCTTTTCCCACCTTATTCTCCAAAAAAAAAGAAAAATGTGCTCAAATCTTGCGCGATTGTATTCGCTCGATGGATCCATAAAATATATTTAAAATCGGGTACTTCTTCTACAGGCAATGAATTGATAAAAATAGGTATTTTATCAGCATCAGCTATTATTATTATCTATTATTTAATCATCTTTTATAAAGAAATCTCGCCAAATTCGCTTCGCCAGCTTGGATCACTGGACAAATATGCCTAGCAATCCTTTGGGTGATAGAAGGAAGAGTGTGCGACTATCACCCGGATTTTTGGTTCAACAGGTTTACTCCTACGGAGGACATAACCCCAGTATCGACGCTTCGAATTCAACAACAACCCATTGAGCTATTCCATCCACTGTTTTATTATTTTAATGTTATTATTATTAACCATTATTAATTTACTAATTATTATTATCATTATTAATATAATTTATAATTTTTTTCTTAATGGTGTTTTTAATAATGTTTAATACTAAAGTTATTAATAATGGCATTATTTAAATATTATTGTCATTATTACTCATTATTTTATTATTTTAATATTATTATTACCATTTTATTGTTATTAATATTATTATTTGCAACTATTTATCATTTTATTTTATTAAACTATTACATTAACATTACTATTTTATTATATTATTATCATTATTAATATTATTATATTATTATTAAGAGTTACTATTCACTATTTACTATTTATTATCATATATATTATTGTCAATT